GAGATTGTAAAATAAGCAGCATAGACACAGCACCTGCTTTACCTCTTCTACTTTCTTTCAACCTTGGATTTTTTTTTTTCATTTTCTTCCCAAATGGCATGCCTGCATATCTTTTGTGTCTTGGATAAAATCATCTTTGGTAGGACGTAGGCCATTAGTCAACTTTTAAAAAATGCATATGCAATGCATAGAACAAGCAGACATAATAATAATGGAAAAGCCATCAAGTGATATGAGATACAAACAGAGGATCATTAATGAAATCTAGACCTCAAAATTTTCCGGGAAGGATTACTTAAGAAGAAAATTAATCAGCTTTGTTCAATGGATACAATATTGCTCTGTAGGTAGAATAAGGGGGCAGAAATACATAATTTTGTAACCCAAAAGAATGTCATATGCAAGGAATGGCACAGAGTTAGAAATGCATTCCTCTTGGCCCCCAAGGAAATCATAGCAAATTGGCTTAGCTAAAGTTTAAATAAAAAGGAATGACAAAGGAAAAAATTACATAAAAATGTCGTACCGTGGTAAATCTTAAAGTGAGAAAGGTACTGTTTGGAGGTTATGATTCCAAGTATTGTCTTTATAATGAATCATGGTGAGGAAGGCTTGAAGGAGGAGGCTAGGAAGGAAATCCTTGATTCAACCAGGTACAAGTGAAAAGGAGCAGGTGGAAGCTAGGAGAACAGAAAAAAAATCAAGTTTTTGGAAAGTTTTTCCCTTATAAAATTAATCCACTCATAAATTGTTACTTTCTAAATCAAACTGAAATTTCTTTGTTTAATTTCAAGCCTGCATTGGCCTTTGTTTTTTTCTCGTCAGTCACCAACTCCTCCTGCCTTCTTATTAGCAGAATTATCAGCGAACCCTTTTCTTACCATCTTGCTTCTCTCTTCAACTTCTTCATTTTATTATGCAACTTATGCACTATTATTCAGCTCATTATATATTTATGCATCATTCAGCTTTATTATTATTCAACGCATTTTAAACTTAATCCTTTTACGTATTATTCTTCCTGCTTGAGGGACAGTAGATTGTGAAGAGCATGACGTTTGTTTTTCTTCACAGAAAGGTCATTCTAAACCATCTTTGCTATATATTTATTCTTCAAACTTCTTTTTTCTCTGGCATATGGGTGCATGAAAAATAGAAACGATATCATTTTTCAGCTTGGTGTGAAGTCTATTAGACTACAGACACTCAAAATAAAGTTAAAATCAAAACAATACTAGTTTGGTTCATGATTAAAATGTAATAGCTAGAAACTCTACCCCTACCTACTTCCCCCAGATAATTGACATTTTATTTCCCCTTCAGTCCAGAAAGTTGAGTTTTTTGTTGAGAGGGATTCACTTAGTGAATACTTGTGTCTCCCTAAGTACTTAGCATGGCACCTTCTACATGCTGTATAGCAGTATATAGTTATTGATTAATGGGCCCAGAATTAATTTCATTTGATGGGAAAAACAAAGGCAATTAAGCCTACATTCTAATGCTATTCTAATACTACCTACCTTTTTCTAAAGCAAATTTTTTCATTTTGGCCAGTGGACCTTCCCATTTATATTTTTACTATCATAAGTTACTTTTCTTGTTTAAGGAATAGATAGTTTGTGGTCCCCTTTACAACTTGAACAGTGAATTTTATTCTGTTTCTGCTGTGTTGGCCTCTATAATCCTCTGTGTGTTCCCAGCATGTAGGTACCATTATTATTAGGTGCATGGCTAAAAGAGAACCAGAAAAATAAATGGACCCATTCTAATTACTCAGTAAAGCCCATTGTGTCATTTTGGCTTAGAAAATGCAAAGGCTTTATTTCTTAAAAATCACATAATTACCTATATTTTTGAACTTCCGTATACTCTTGGTTTATATGCCCTTTACAAAAAGGGACTCATGTGAATTTGGCTGCATTTAATGAAAATTCTGATACAGTTAACAGTAGTTGCAGTTACCTGAATTGATCTTCTTCTCCAGAAATGACATAATTGTAATAATGACACTATTTTGCTTCCCAAGGTCTGGTCACATTTCATTGTTTTTAAATGATGTATATTTATGCTTTATTATTTATACTATGGAGTTTTCAGAAACTGACTTACACAGATTCATTTTATTTGAAATTTATATTTAAACGGGTAAGTCATAAGAATGTCAATAGAAAGTTACCAGTTTCTTTTCTATAAATTAACATTTAATTAAAAATTTGGAATGGAAACATTGCATCATCTGTGACAGAAGGGATGGAATAGAGGTTCTTTCCACCTCTAGTGATCTATATGTCTATAATTTAATTTCCAGTAGGCAAAAAACTACATTTGTAGTATTACCTTTTGAAATCACATAGCTCTTAAGAAAAATTAAGTATTATTTTTGGCAGTTTGAAGATTACTTAGCTGAAATGAGCTTCCTTTGTCTATTTTTTTTAAACCTTGGTTTAAAATTTTTCTTTCTTTTTTCGTAGTGGCATTAATTGCTATGGTTTTATGAACAATTTCTTTTGTTTTTTTCTTTTTGAGAAAGATATAAAGAAATGGTTCTTCAACTCATCAGAGTTCTCATAGGCTAGTGACACCCAGGTAGTCACAAATTGTAGCTCATGGCTGGAGACACACCCTGTCATTTTTTTGTAGACTGATGTCTACTGTCTTTACAGTGGCATATCCATTCTTCAAGTGCCTGCATGCTGAAAACACATATTTAATTTTATTGGAGACTTTTACCAGAGCTTAGGTAATTTTAACAATGATAAATCATAATGATAACTAGTTTCTTATACTAATAGCACCATGAAGACTTTTTTTATTTCAAAAAAACATTTCTTTTTTTTTTATTATTTTTTTATTTTGTCAATATACAATGTGGTTGATTACTGTGGCCCATCACCGAAACCTCCCTCCCTCCTCCCTCTCCCCCCACCCACCCAGGCATGTCCTTTCCATTTGCTTGTTGTAGGACAAAAAAACATTTCTAATTAAAAATGCAAATTGTACATATTTTTAATGTGTGATAAGATTTGTTTTTTTTTCTTTTAATAAAGTTTTTTTTTCTTTTAGAGATACATGCTGTAATATTTAGAGATGAAATTATATGATCTCTTGGATTTGCTTCAAAGTAATAAAGGGGGAAGATGTGTAGATGGGAGTAAAGATGAAATAAGTAGCTATGAGTTGATAACTGCTGAAGTGGGGGATGGATACATGAGAAGCCATTACTATTCTGTCTACTTGTGTATATATTTAAAATTCTTGATAATAAAAATACAAATTTTGTAGCTCGTATCATTCTTAGAACACTTTACTATAAATTTATAAACCTCCGTAAATATCAACATTACTAATTCAAGATGTTAACACCAAGGCACATCTCTCCCACCAACCAGTTTCCTTCTGAATTTCGTATTCCAACTAACTGCTTGGTACAATCTCTTCGTCACCTAAACTGATGACCTTACACATAAGTTATTAATTTAATTTGGTGAATTATATTTAAGACACCAAGGCACATCTCTCCCACCAACCAGTTTCCTTCTGAATTTTGTATTCCAACTAACTGCTTGGTACAATCTCTTAGTCACCTAAACTGATGACCTTACACATAAGTTATTAATTTAATTTGGTGAATTATATTTAAGTATCTGTTACATTAACTCTATTCCCACTCTTATTTCAGGCTCTCATGATCTATCTTTTGACAGTACTAAATACTTAGAGAATGAGCGAGTCAGTGAGTGAAGCCCTGAATACTTCTCCTATCACAGCACATTTTTCACTGTTTTGTAATTCTTTTTTACTTGTCCTTATCCCCTCGCTAGATTTCAAGCTTTATAGAATGTCAAAGTGAATCCAACTCACCATTGTGTCCCCAGCAACTAGTGCAGTGTCTGGCATAAATTAGGCCTTCAATAAAATATTTTTGGAATGCATGTATTTGTCTGTCTTCTTAAGTGGCCTCCATGATTTCTGTCTCCATTTTGGCTAATCCATCCTCTATTTAGTTTCTGGAGGAATTGCTCTAAATGGCATTTGTGATCATATTTTGCCCATCAATAACATTTTCCCACGAGGGTCAGCATTCCGACATTTGTGCAGGAAGCCCGTGGCCCTTCATCTTGCGGGTCCTGCCGACTGTTTGCTGCTTCATCTCTACCCACCACTCCACAGATGACCTGAACTACTTGCATATCTTATAACGCCACACTGAACATTTCCTCTCTGGAGTGTCATCCCCAGCCACAGTTTAAAAATGGCACCCTTGGGGGATGCCTATCTAACCTGGGTAGGCTGAGCTGATCCCTGTCCTGCCCCAGAGGCTGGGACGTAGCAGCAAATGCCACAACATCCCTGATCTCAACACACTCACCCCCCTTCAGACTGTCGACAGCCATTTTCTTCTTATCGTTTTCCTCTTCACCAAAAGTGAGCATGCCTACAGCAGGAACTACTTTTTATTTTTCTTAGCATCCTCGCATCTGGCAAATAGAGGACCACAATAAATATTTGCAGAAGGAGCAAATTAAGGAATGCATTTTTTGCTAAACAAGTGAATGAGTTTTCCATAAAAGAGGTTAAATCAATGATATACTTACCAGCATACCTAAGGGTTGTTTTTCACATTTGTACTAGGGCAGGAGACAAGCCTGAATCATATGACTCTAAGAATGAAATGCTGTGGTAAAGAAGACCTTTATGTGAACCAAGAGGCTAAGGGAAACATGATATTTAGTTTTCTAAAAGATCAAGATTTATTTAGTAAAAAGAGTAATTCTGATGATAATTTTAATGAAGTCTTCAGTTAGCTTGAAGGGAGATTGTTTCTGAAAGATATTTCAAAACTCCAACCTTACTGGGGCTTTGACCCTCAGTATATAGTTTGTAAAAGAGCCAAAGTACAAAAATACTGAAACGTTAGTGAATGAGATCTCATTATGTTGACATGAAGTTTATCAATTAAGAATTTCATACAGCTTGGATTTTCCCCTCTTCCTGTGCAGATATGTCTTCTCCGACTACTATGAAGAAGCCTGAGAAGCCATTGTTCAGCTCTACATCTCCACAGGATTCTTCCCCAAGATTGAGCACTTTCCCCCAGCACCATCATCCCGGAATACCTGGAGTTGCACACAGTGGTGAGGAGTTTCAAGCATAGAGGAGAAGCCTCCCTCTTGTCTGCAGGGCCAACCCCCCAGGGATGGAGCAGAAGTTTATAATTATAGCTGTGGTGACCATATTTTCTCAACCAAAAGGGAGAGGGTCACAATCTGATAAAAAAAATTTTCTTATCAAGTTGTAAGAAAAGATTTTCAGAGTCACACAATTAAATAATGTTTATATATGTATTTTTAAATTGCCTTTATTGGAAAGATAATGATCACAAGAACTTACAATGTTTGGGATACATAGTTATAGTAACTGTAGCTTCAGGATTGGTCCTAATTCTATATATTTTACTAAGGGAAAGATGGAATTTCAAGTATGTTGCTGAGGTTAGAGTATTTCCAAAGGCATTAAGATATACAGACTGTATTTCTGTAGATGTTATTTTTTGTACACAAATCAATATTTACTTATATAGGAGTGAAATTAATCAGAAAAAAAAAGAGGTACTTTAACAGCTGTTTTATATGCACACATGTTTTGGGCTAGTACACTTGGTATTATGTTTAATATCTTTATTTAAATAGGAAAAAGATCCAATATTTCATATTTGTACTTTAACTAATGACTAATATTAAATTCTCTTTCAAAAAATAAAAAAGAGATACAATTAATTATAAATAGTATATACTTTCTACCTATTACTCTTCAGTCCTAGAGAGGAGTAGATTGAATTTTAGGTGGAGAAAGTTTTGTATATGGATATGTTTATAGTGACACTCTTATTGCTTTAAATTTATAGTTAGGCTATAAGTTTTTAAATCTTTACTAAAAGGATGTAACGTGTTAAAATAAAGTCCTTAGCTTTGGTAATAAGTGTATGTTGATATTTATTGTTGTTATACTTAAAAAATACCTGGCCTTTATTGGTTTCTTTAAAAAAATGAAATTAAGAGAGAAATACACAAATTAAATGTGGTATAAGAATTTGTACATTTATTGTTTGTACTACTGAGATAGGTGAAAAAAAATCAGTAATTACTTCATAGATTTGTAATGTTGAATATTTTGGAAAAATTAACTTAGAAGTCAAATCATTTATTTATTATGACACCTGATTAAAATATTCATATTTCTAACATTAAAAAAATTAATCCATATATTTTTATATAATGAAACATGAGAGTCCTAGATAAGCCTTCCACCTTGGTTCTTTATCAGATATTAGTTTAATATCTAATGTATTAAGGCCTGTGGTAGGCACGATGGCCATGAAAGACAGTGTCTGCCTTTACCAAGCTCATGATATAGTGGTAAGATGGGGGGACCACGTTGCAGGTAGGCATCTAATCTGAACAGGACTGGATACTGGGAGGAGGAGTAGATGCTTGGAAGAGAGGTGTTATGAACTAAAGTTTGAAGGGTGAATTCACCACAAGAAGGAACAAGCTAGGAAGAAAAGTGTTTCAGGCAGAAGCAACAGCACATATCGGTGCAGTAGAGGTCATTGCAGCAAGGAACTGCCGTATATCCAAGGATCCACTGGTCTCTTAATGTGGTCAGAGATGAGGTCAAAGGAGTCACCAGGACTAGGTCCTGAAGAGGATGAGGACATATGTATCTGTGAAGTTGTGCGGACTTCATTCTGGAAGCACTAGGAAGCCATTGAAAGATTTTTAGCAGAGAAGTTACACAATTATAATGGTGTTTTTAAAAAGCCATTCTTATAGAACTGTAAAGGATGTATGGGAAAGAGAAAGACTGAAGGAAAGAAGACAATTAGGAAATCTTTGCAGTAATGTAGGCAAGAAATATGTATTATGTACATAAGTATTCTTTTATAATGAAGGAAAATATTTCTTGTCTTGTATTTTGCTTTTCTTTTTTTAAGAGAGTAGAAAGATGTTTATTGATAAGGTAGCCATTTTTCTTTTGGCTTGATATATGACATTCTACCCAGTTATATGAAGCCAGCTACAGCTCATGCAAGCACAGTACCAGGTCGCCCAGAGATTTGAGTTCAGATTTGATTTTTGCCAGTTAAGTTGAAAAGAGATCTCTTCTAGAATTACTAAGGCCAAATTGATCTCAAAACTCACAGGACCCAAGGTGGAACTACATATATATCCATCAAGAGTTTGTGGGCAGATGCGAGCAAAGACATGGCTAAATTGAGCTGCAATTACGAGCACTTAGACACTAAGTAAAATGGTGCCCAATTTTTAGATGTTTGTATTTCCTTAAATTATACTTTCAAATGCGTATACTTCTTAAGCAAAGTAAAACTTCAACAAGGAGTTTTAAGAAACACTCGGTTCTCTGAAATGCATCCCTTTGATGGAGAAGGCTCAGACTTCAGTGTGTGGGAGGATTACATGAGGCACTAGTTTAAAATGCGCATTCTGGTGCCTCATCCCTGGAAGTCCTGATCCCATAGGTCTATGGTTAGGCCCAGAATCTGCATCGTAATAACAATGTAGAGGATTCTAAGAAACAATGCCCGGTCATTCAGGGAGCAAAGTACAACTATAAAATTGAATTTATGATTCTTCTATGATATACATTCTTAATTTCTTGTATTTTCTGAAAAAGTTATCTTTGGGGCAGATAAGCAATATCCCTTAAAAAGTTTTATTTTCCCACATAATTACAAAGTTGGAGATAAGTCATTCCAGATGATTTTTTTAATAGGTCATGGAAAGAATTTATTTTTCATATTGTTTGCTAAGTTGTCTCGTAAAACATTAAACATATATCATTTGTGATTTCCTGTGATTTGGATCAAGATATTAAATAGAAACAGACATTTATTCTTCACTCCTACATATATTAGTTGGTACATTTAATTTGTATTTACATGATTAGTTCCTTCAGCATTATAGAGATAAAGCTCATACAATTATATTCTTTCCTCATCTTTCAAACTTAAGAATTATGTGTCAAAAACTAAACAATAAATTATTATAATAATGTTGGAAAGTTACAGTAAAATTAAATATTTGTCTATGTTGCATGTGTTTTGTATTGTATTTCCCTTTATAAAATTATTATAAAATATGTGATTTATGGAGAAGTTAATATACCTACCAGTATGAAAGTTTGAATTTGCATTTCTGTGGCTTTTATTCTTGGTCTTATCTAAACAATATCTTTTAAGCTACATATAGTGAAAGTTAGAATAGGAAAAAAATAGTTGTAGCTATTGGTTTTGAAAGGAACATTTTAATTAGGAGAAAGAGTTCACAGGCCCTTGGTTCGAATATTCATGAGCATTTATACAATGAACAGGTGATTATTCATGATATGAGATTATTGCATATTAGTTATTGGCTTCGCTTCTAAACAACTGCCAGCTAGGATGTATAGGGAAATGATTTATTTGAAATTGGATTACATTTCTCTTTTGAATTTTGGTAGAAAATTTGTGGGTCTCCTGTTCTCTTATTAATGCTGTGACTTGGTCTGGACTTATGAGACAAAGACTTTATAATTAAGTGATATGTTTTTGATGGGAAATAACTATACTCAAAGAAATGTTTTATCAAAAATTAGCATAACCTATGAAAGAGAAACTTCTTTTTTTTAATTATTCGTGGATCTAGAAAGCAAGATTGTTAGTTCTTAGAGTAGGGTTTTATCTCTCCATGCTTAACAGTTATTGCAGGAGAGCTTGGTTAAATCATGGAGAAAGATGAATGGCCACTGGTTTCTAATTTCGCAGCATTCTTTACGATCAAATGGAGCAGTGAGGAAACAGCTGACGAGTCAACTTTTCCTTTTCTATCTTCTGCAGTCATCTCAACTCGAACTCCACCTCCACCCTCACCGTTGCCATTTCCAACACAAGCTATCCTTCCTCCAGCCCCATCGAGCTACTTTTCTCATCCAACAATCAGATATCCTCCTCACCTGAATCCTCAGGATACTCTGAAGAACTATGTACCTTCTTATGACCCATCCAGTCCACAAACCAGCCAGGTAAAAATAAGAGAGAAAATAAGATTAGAGCCTGAGGGAGCTGGGACAGGTCTAACTCTAAGACATGAAGGTTAAGTCAGACAGTATGTCTGGCAGAACATCAAGCCTTGAGATCCATCTTCAGGAAGTTTCTTGGTGACTCAATAAGTTTTTATTTAAAGGTGGCTGAATGACAGGTAGGAAGCATGTTGCCCCAAAGGGGTACATTTGTGAAGATGTTTTTGGTTTAATGTTTTTGGATTTTCATTGACTGAAGGGAAGTTTATGCAGAAAGTGCATTGACAAAAAAACTCTGAGCTGGAATTCACACCTCTGAAATACCTGGTTTGACACAGAGACAAAGTGCTTATTTCAGGCAGGAACAAGGTATGTGCTAAAATAAACACACCCAAAAGAACTTAAAGTTGTATTTATAGACCAGCTATTAGGTATTAAAATAAGCCTGGGTAATGTAAACATTTTCAGTGTTTGATGACTACTTGAATATTCTTTGCAGAGACATGACTTACATTTAATAATGAGTGACATTACCAGAAACGTCTTTTTTTTTTTTTTTTGTAAACATCGTGCAGTGGTTTTAGGGATTCATTGCATAAGTGTAGTGACTCATGTGCAGTTCTCACTCCCTAGACATGTGGTTTCTTCTATGGAGAGTTCCCTTCAGAGGGATTTGGTATGTGAGGGTTTTCCAAGTAGATAGTTTTTGTGCAAAAACTGGGTCTATCAATAATTGTGATATCCAAAATCCGTAATGTAATTATAATTTTATGGTCTGGTATTTAGCTTTGCTGTTTTACCTCCAAGACTGCTTTCCACTCCTTATTATACCTTCTGATGCTTTAGGGAATTTTCACAAACTTTCTATCATTACTACTGTTAAGTTACTAAAATGCTAGTAAAGAGTATGTGCATATCAATTAAAGAAAGGTTAGAGAAACCCTCTGGTCTTAATTTGTTAAAATGAAGCAAAATGGTCCTTTTTGAATGTTTTATTTTTAGTAACAACATATCCAGCACACTTTGGGTTACTTACAAAGTTACCCTTACTTATAAGTCCATATATTAAGCAAAGTATTGAATTTTGAATTTGAAATTAAACTTATTATTTGTATTTTAGAAAAAATATTTAAATGGTGTAGCACTTTTAATGACTGTAATACTAACAACAACTTAAAAGAGTGAGACCATAGTATATCAGTTTAGAAATAAAATTTGCTGTCATAGCATGGATTCAAAAGTCTCAGTTCCATAGAGCTTTTAGCTAGACTCAGCTGGGAGCAGTGAACACAAGGTCTGATTTTAATTTGTGTAGAATTTCCATGAATAACAAAGTCTAATTAAGACATCCATTAAAAGTCCTTAACATTAATTCAGTGTGGAAAATCTTAGAGTTCCATTGGATTTTTTTTTTTAAACTGATGTCTTAATTAGGCACTGTTAGGGGAAAAATTATGCAAATTAAAATCAGGCCCTTAGTGTTACGCATTTCTTTAATTATTCAGTGCTCACTTTACGTATATTTCAATATTAGGTGATAATCTTCCTATATTGCTCTCAGTTGTTCTTCACATTTTCAAGGTTTAGATCCAGCTTCTAAGAGAAGCGTCTTATTCTCATCTCAATTAAAACAAAAATCAAAACAAAACAAAACAAAAAACTCTCTCCGGATTTTGTGTAATAGGAGCAATGTACTAATACTAAGTAGGATAATCCTTTCTTCATGCTGTTTAACCTCATCTTCAGCTAAAACATCTCTCTTTTTCATATCTAGTGTATGAAAGTTCTTCTGTTAACAGACCTAAAAAATAGAGGATTTATAGTGTAGTTTCATCTGTTGAAACTAGTAGAAAAATGAAGTAGAAAACCCTCCCATTCTTCTGACCCTGACTTTCAGAAAAAGTTGTCTGCATGGGCTTGGGACAGCATTCCTTGTCACTTTTATTATTTCTAAGTGAGAGAAATGCCTGTCGGTTCATGTTGACTCAATTACAGTAGACAAAGTTAGAAGAATGGACAGGGTAATATATTCAGTGGCAGCACTTCCTTGAAATTATTGTCATATTGTTTCTGTTCTGGGTAGATACTATCAAACTGTTTTGGTGAACACTGTATACAGAAACACTTTTACCACTGAATGTACCACCAATGATAAAATGAGACCTTCCTTCTTTTTGAGAAAGATATGTAAAGAAGTCATTTGCAATGTTTAAATAACCAGAAAACAAACTTTTCCTTTGAAAGGAAAAATCGGTCTTTATTGTAAACTGAAGAATTGGGTTTTTTTAGGAACATTATATCTGCTTTGATTTTTAACTTTAAGTCAAAACCAATTAATATGCATTTCAAAATAGAACTCTTGGTATTCAACTTTTTAGCTCTAGAAATGGAAAAAAATAAGTACTCATTCACCATTCACCTATAGTCAATTGTATCTTCCCAGTGTTCTCCAGCACGGCACTGATTTTGATTGTCAAGTTAAGCAATGGAGATGCCTTTTCCTCCCCACAGCAATTTGGAGATTAATTGCATTACTGCTGCACCAATTATAGTGAGACAGTCATGCTATTCAATGGAATATTTTGAATAAAATTAGTTTAAAGATATAACTCTCCCATAGGTTTCCGTAGAGGAAAACTCTGGTCAATTTTCCTGACATAAAGTTAAATACTTAAAATTACCCATGATAAATAGTCAGGATATTCAAGAAGTTCATTTTCTTTATAACATAAATAATGCAGCCTCTGAGGAACCTAACCAAAGATTTAGTTCATGTCTCTAAGCCACAATATTTAAGTGTTATTGGCTGTTCATCTTTTTCTCTAAAGAAATGTCTACTTGTAATTTATGTGCAGGTATTTAGATCAACATTCTGCCTCATTGTTTTCTTTACTTTTAACAATTCAGATGATAAAGACTACATATTTGTAGAGAATAACCTCCTAGCAAGTTGTTAGGAACACCATACAATGGAGAATTTCAACATGAGTGTAATCAAAAATAGCATTCTCTGTCTAGAAAAATATATTCCAGTATTTCTTCAAACAGCGTACCCTTAGGATTTTGTCTCCTACCACAGAGACTATTTTTTGCACCCAGGGGCTAAAACTCAGATAATAATATCTTTTATGTCATTGCCCAAGGGATTTTCTCAGTTAATTCCCACAAATGTCAACAATATATGTTTTGTGTAGCTCTCTATGCACAACAATGGAAGAGTAACTCAAATAACACTGTGCATTTGATTGTCCTCTGGTTTGCTTCAGAACATTTTAATTTACTTTGGAAATCTTTTATCTGTAGGTGTAAGGTCAGACCTAGTTCAGCACTTTATATCATTGTATGGATCTGAAATTTCAGATGCTTTCAGTGTCATTCTATCTGCTTGTTTTAGTAAATCACCGAAAGTGGAGTGGGGATCTTAGACTCTAAATTGCCTGATGTGCACATCTGAGCATACTTGGGTGGGACAGAGAGCTAGTTTTTGTATGCAGGAGGGTGGTGGGCCTTGATGGTAAATGATGGAAATGATAGAGTTTGACACGCTTGATCTCCTAGATGTTCTTGTGCCCCTTGATTCAGGGACATCATCACTGAGGTGAGAATTGTGTTCTGAAAGGCGGACCGAATCCCTGTAGAAAATGAAGAGCAGAGAATAAGGAAGCACTGCTTTCTAATTCTAGCTCACTCAGTCAGGAAATGCATTTCAGCCTCGGCGAAACGTTTAGGTCTCCACTTGAGTTTTCTGGCCTACTAAGTGAAAGGATTGTGTCTACCTGGCTCTCAGGGGTGTTGTAAAGATAGATAATCTATTTGAAGTACTCTGAACATGAAAACCTTTTAAATGCTGCTGCTTCTTATCACTACTAACCGTTGACTGGCCTCCCACGCAGACTTGAGAGGGCCTGTGCGGCAGTTTGCACAGTGTGCAGGGTCCGCGTGGCCGCGGGTGCTGAGTGGAGCTGTTGTACAAGATGACTACCTTTTAGATCGTTTCACCCGGCATTCTGTTTTTGTTTTGTAGCCTAACAGCAGTGGTCAAGTAGTAGGGAAAGTGCCTGGCCATTTCACTCCTGTCTTGGCACCCTCTCCCCATCCCAGTGCAGTGCGACCTGTGACCTTGACCATGACAGATACTAAACCCATCACTACATCCACTGAAGGTGAGGCAGCTTCACCTACAGCAACCAGTAAGTATTTCTGTAGGAAATGAGAAATGTCCATCAAAAGGTGCCATTGGATATCTGATCCAAGGTGGAAAACACGGCAACTTTTCCAGCTAATCGACCAGATGGAGATTTCTCATTTAAGTGGAGCTAGCAGGCATGTATGTGGCCCTATTACATGCTCTCTCTTATCAAATTTCAGTCAGTGCATCATATTTGAAAAGGGAGAAGCTTGCTTGTTTGAGTAAACAGGTAAAACAAAAATAAGCCATGCCTGCTCGTTCCAGGTATACATGGAAATTGCACTGAATAACATAACTCAGTATACAAGGTTTTTATATCAACGAAAGAGAGATCAGATAATTGTTACTTATTGTAGTATTCCTATAGAAATCAAGCCCCTTCACGAGGCAAGCTGAATCAGTGCCTCTGTAAGATAATTGTATGTTTACATTACTGTAGGTTATGTCTTTGTTAGAAACAGTCACACAGTGTTGGGTGCAGGCGAGAACATTTCAAAGCTTAGTATTAGGCACATGTAATCTACCTGCACTTTCATTATCTGCAAATTTTTAAAAATTCTTTTGATTATTTTGCCTATCATGGTATATCAGATACTGTGTTTTTTTAGCATGGCCACAAGATTTTAAATATTTGTGACTTAACCACTGAACTTACATAGCCCATAACAGTAAGCCAGATTATTCCTTTGTTTCATATAGAATACTCAGAAGTGTACAAGGAATTAGTTTTCAATCGGTTTCACCCAGACTACCAGCTTTTTAGAACTGGAGCTGGTATGCACAGATTGATAAAGTGGGATAAAGATCAGGTCAGGAGGAATTAACATGCACCACACCAGTTATACATATATTTTAAATTCAAACCATTTATTTTTCTTTCCTAGAGCAAGAAAAATCCTCATGCTCTGGAAATTCCCATGTGAAATTCAGAGATAATCAGAGGCACCACTGGCTTTTTCTCAGCCATTGGAAAGATGCTCTTTTTTAATGGCTTCTGAAAGTCTAGGGAGGGACCCTACAAGAAAAACAAACACTACTTTGAGTGTACAGTTAATTTGGCATTTCTTTCTCAAAATTCCTGAGCCCCATAAACTAATAAATCTGTAGGCTTGTAACACCCATTAATAATCATCAATGCCTAGTAACCAGTTTTTTGGTAGAGAATCATACACTAGTGAACACTTCCCTGAATGCACAGATGAATGAGACCAGTCAGGAAAAACTAAAAATTATTTTGTTCTAAAATTTTGTTATGTACATTACAGTCACTAAAACACTATGTACAAATTTTTGAAATGGATGTCTTGGCATCATTGAACAAAAAATGTCAGCAATTTAAATAAAAGCACATAGAAAATAAAGATTTTTTTTAAAAAGTAGTTGAAAGACTGTCGCAGGAGAAATTATCAAAACCAAGTTCTAGAAACTTCTGGTGTCTACCCTTATGGCAACATTAATATATAAGATTCAGGGGAGGATCAGACCCAAATGATTACAGCTCACTTATGGGAGTAACTTCAGCCTGTTTGTTAATGAATTTTTTTTATACTCACATACAGGTTGTTCAAAAAGAGATCTGATTTGACTAGTAAAATTACAAAATATTCAAAAGGAATATCTTGGTTGTATAAAGATGGGTGCATCAGTCCATTTTCCACTCCTACATAAAAGAAATATAGTGAGTAGTTTTTCTTTCCTATAAACAAATTTATAGCTCCAGCTCCCCAGGCACCACTGATAAGTCATTGAATTGATAAGTTAATAAGGTTAAAGAAAGCACAGAGGCTAAGGAAACCTCTTTCTCATGGTTGAAAATAAAGAGCAGCATAGATGCAGTACTGCCTCTGGAGGGTCAGGCTCTTCACTGGCTGGTTGTCCATGCTGAGTGTTAAATTCCAGAGTCCTGGAGACTGAGTAGGGGCCACTATTTGTTTATGACTGCCCTCACATGGACCCTTTATTCAGGAGCAATTAAAAGATGAATTGTGAGCATCTTCACTGTTTTTAAAAGTTGACCTAAAAACCAACCTCAATGAATCAATCCTGCAGTCCTTTAAATGAACATGGCAGAATTAATATATTGATTTTTAAATGTCAGCCTATTTGAAATTAGTGTCTGGATTCCTCATTAATCTGATGATTTTAAACCAAACATTGTAGGTTTCTTCAGATTTGTAAATGTAATATATGTTAAAAATTTAGTTCTGCTTATTCTGACATGGGATTGCTTAGTGCTGGGAAGATATGTTAGTCCTTTCCTTGTGGAAGGAAACAAAAATCTTTAGAAGTAAAGAGAACTTTTCTGTGGAAAATTCATTCTGTACCACAACGCACTTATACAAAAAGTACTTGCAAATGACACCATAACAATGTAGGGAGTAGTCACCATATATATTTACTGCCTGGTGACTAAGGTTTTAAAAGATACCATCAACTCCTTCCTGGACCAATCACAAGAAATTGACATTTTTTGTATGTGCTTGTGGAAAATAAAGAACATTTTTCAAAAACATTTCTTTCAGACTTGAGGTCATTTTCATGTTAAATAAAATACTGAGCTAATTCATTCTACATGGCAATAAAAATAGGCTTCTCCTTCATGCTAGTAATATTAGATTTTCTTTTTTAGTAAGACTTTTAAGTAAGACAGTTTCCATCCGATATCATCAAGCACATCTGCTTAAATCCCATCATTAAAAGCTGTCACTATTTTCTGACAGACTTTCAGTCTGCTCTTACATTTAGAACCATTGCTTGTTCCATTACTAGACAACTTCTGTCTGGTAAAAAGGTACATCTAGGAAAAGGACCCTTCTGTTTAGCCAATCCTTGGCACCCCTGCAAGACTGTAACTGGAGCATGTAAGTGTGAGACACCCACACCAAAGTATGGGACATGGTTAACTGGATAGATTTTTTTAGGGGGTGTAAGTAGTTGATTTAAAGTCAACTGCCGTTTCTTTTCTATCACTTGGTATTCACTCAGAAAAGAAGAGAAATGGACACACACTTTTTTTTTTTTTGGTTGCAAATCCCACTTCTCTGGGTTTCTTGTACATGGACAGGGTGTTCATTCTGATAGTTCACAATTTTTATCTTTGTTTTTGTTCTTCCTTAATCAGCCTACACAGCCTCAGGCACATCTCAAGCCAATCGATATGTGGGACTAAGCCCAAGAGACCCATCCTTCCTACATCAGCAACAGGTGGGCAAGTTCACCCAGGTGTGATGGTGTAGCCACGCTTTTGCTTTGGTGCTTTTCTCCATGTCGCCTCTTAGATCTGGACTCAGAACGGGGCTCACGGGGCTTCTGAGACCGAAATCAATCATTTCATTTTCCAAAATTTTTCTCATTTATTCTTTATTTCTCACCTCTCTGAACAGAATTTCTCAAATTGGCTCATGACCTTTTCCATCTCTGTAGTATATTGATAATATGCGTGAATAATAGTGTTTCAGCCTGAGAGTATTTTTCTGTCTTTTTGGCTATTGAGTGCTGACTACCCGATACCTTTCAAAGGCAAAAACTGAAAACTGATTCAAAAACCAATGAGAGTAGAAACAGTACATAATTTGTGTTTTGGGGCGATCTCATATTTTCCAGATGTTTTACTCCTCACTTTTGTATTTTAGTCCAAGATGAGTTATGGAGCTAAAACCTCAGGCGACACATCATTCCTATTTTAATAGGTTTAAATTGGTTTACTGATTTCAGATGTGATAAAACACTTTTTTGGTTCTTTCTTACATCATTTATGTTTCAAGTAGCATTTTAAATTTCACATCTCATTAATGCTGTAAATTTAATGCAAATGAAGTGTTTACCCAAACTGCGAAAATATACCGCAGGATTAATGGTGGCTTATAAACAAATTAGCCATAGTCAAAAGCATAGACCATACCCTTATAGAAATCCCATGATTCTAGTTACAAGATAATAGAAATAATTCTAAATACCTCAGAATTTAAATATATTTTATGATGCATATGTTTGCTGTTCTCATGTTTTGACAGCAGAGCAGTTTAAAGTTAACAGTATGCAAAGTATTCCATAGGGAAAATTAGGCTATAATAAATAAGAAGGAGCTGGTATTAGCCACTTTACTCATCATTTGTAAGTTGTCTGTGCACATATGTGAGTTTTTACACATGTAGTAAGCCTGAGCGGACACTTATGCCCACCTATTTCATTCTAGACCTGTCCACCTCGCTTATGCTTATCGTGGCCTGCCTTAACTGGGCTTCCTGTGGAGTTCTCAAGTCCTGAGTCCTTCCCAGTTGCAGGCAAAGGTGGCAGGCTGCACATATTAAAGGTCACCACATGCAGAGTTCAGAAAAAATCATAAAGATGATAACTTATTCAGGATACTTGACGTTTTGCCAGGTTTTTAAAAAAGCAAAACAAAACAAAGCAAAAGAGTGAGAACTAACTGAAAACATCTGTATACAGTTATGAAAATACCAAATAATAATTAGTGGTTTTGCCGGCCATTGGCTTTTCAACATAATTCTCTGGAATGTTGCCTTTTTTCACCTCTGAAATTGCTGTAATATGAAATGTGTGATAATTACTATAATTGGTTCTATTTGACAAATGTAAGTGTTCATTGTGTCTTTTTAACATATGTAGGATTTATAGGTTTAGAAACTTGTTCTTTTAAATATCATTACACATTTTCAGAAACATTTTTGTTATGGGATTTGTTTTATTCTTTATGACACATCTCTAATTTCCAGTTAATTTTTAATTTGTAAAAACATGCCTTCATTATTTAAACCTTTAGCCCCAAACACATTTAGAATATTACATCCAATTCCGTGTATTTAGAAGCAATCTTCCTCTCCCCCTGCCCTAACCCGTGGCAGCTTTGTCTTACCACTTATGACTAACATTGGAGCCTCATGTAATTATGATCACAGAAGTCCATTACTGTAAGTTACTTCTCCTTTCACATATCCAAAGATAAATCAAGAAAACTTAGCATCACCATGAAAATATGAATCTTAATGTAGACAGAGTTCTGGGCACATTTTAACTGAAAAAAAACATATATATATAGATATGTATATATATATATATATATATGAGTTCTAGTAGAACTACAAACTTTTTTCATCAAAGATATCCAGTTGTTATTTAAGTGGACAATATTGAGTGAAGACCACTTGTAATATGAGTATGTTTTGTTCAGTCAAATGTGATTGATACTTATTGAGTACGTGATGTATATTGATCCTTGGAAGAAAAATCTCACATAGTTAAAATTTTTGAATACCATGCAGACAGATAATTTGTCCTCTATATAATGAGTTAGTGCTATTTTTTGGTTTGAAGAAGCCCCATATGCCAAATTCATAATGAACTACAATTTTGAAGTGTGCAGAATATAACTGTAATTGCATATTATATTCTTTTTGTCTATTACTAAACTAAGGCTCCAGTTAAAAGCTTATTATTTTTATCTTTTCAAATTTTAAAAGAATCAGAGAGATGAAGGTTTATGTTTACTATCCCAGAACAGAGGGACAGAACTAGTTTAAATGACTTCAGTAGAGTAAAGGTTATTTTTTCCTACAGCAGAAATGAGATTGATTTACTGTGTCCTTTCATTACTTTACAAAGATTTAAAAGAGACCACTCTTTTAGTGGCAGGTTCTAAATGCATTTGGTTTAAAGCACTCAATGATGAATGAAAAGGAAAATCAAGGGGTACATGAAATAAAGGTAATCAATCATTTTATATTAGCTAGGAGAAATTCAAAATTAGAAAGGCAATGGTTTTAGTCCGAGAGAGTTCTTTTAAACATTCCCATAGCCTTTAATATACATGACCCCTTAAGAATAAATATTGTCACCAGGTACTTTTTTCAGTTCATGGCGGCCTCTTTATAAAGATTTATCCTTTTGGGTTATGAAAAGTATTGATGTGCATTGTTGAGTGCAGTTTTTTCTTTAGAAAAAAACCTTTAATATAGCCTACATAAATTAGAGTTAACAATAAATTTTAAATTGTTGAATAATTTTGATAATCTTATAAATAATCTTTATGACACTACAGTACAACTTTCACATAGTCATTTTTAACACACAGGTGTGCTGGCATCCTTAAACTGAGATGGAAAATATTAAAATTAACTCTTTACCTGTAAGAGTAATACATTCATACTGACAAATCTGAATGAATACTAGAAGTATTCATTTACGTGTTATTATTTGTGCTCCTTTTTATAATGGTTATTACTGATTAATATTGGTTGCTAACTGCCTTGAAATCCTAGTTTTTCTGACATTAGAGTTTCACCTACCATGGTAAATATGATATTTAATTTCAACCTAAAAAATAAAATCACATGATCATGAGGAATATTTCAAAAAGATTCGTGTAAACCAGTTGATAATTTGCCATTAAAAACAATCCCCTCTAATTACTCATAATAATCAGCTCATGCTGGCTGATCAGGGCTTGACTTTAGAATTTTCTTTTATCTCCTGACACAATCTTGAGTACTGTTAAAGGTCTGTCTTTGGGATTATTGGCTTAGTTAATACATTCACTGTTGGCATGGGGTAGATCCCTAAATCAGAACTTCAACTGGAGCTTCATCCTTCTTTAACCTCTATTGGAAGATGGTGTGGTGGCTTGAAGAACTCATGGGTCCTGCTTTGGCAGACTGAACTCTTTAGTCTCTGCTGAGTAGTGTCCTTTTTTGGTTTGGAACATTTTCAGAAGTGCAGAAGACCTCCAGTCTGACTTCACAGAAGTGTAGTAAAAATGTAGTGTTTCCTTTCCTCCTTCATACTTCATGAACACACTTAGCACATTCATTACGAAAGATGAAGGAAACACATTTCCCAAGTTTTATGTCTTTGAGAAAATGGGAACTATCTAGCAGGGTGTTGGATGTTGCTTAGAAAATACAGAATTATTTTACAATCTGTTCTAAAAATTTTAGTAATTTTAGTATAAATGGGTAACATGAAGCAATTTACATGAATTAGCACCAATTCCTTATCTGGTAACAAATTTGCTAATTTCAGGCCACCTTTCTTTGGTATCACAGAAAGTTTGATAATACAAGAGAATCTAGTTAATTTGGTTATCACCATTCTATTTGAGCCTAAGGTCATAATAAAAGCATAAATCTTTATTATACATTGATGTATTATACATCAATACACCGTATGTTTTTAAAAACCTAATTGCAAATTGGAAATAAAAGCTAAGAAGCTTCTTGTTTAGAAATAAAAGATTACCATTCAAATGAGCCATAAAAGTGCACTTTAACTTTTGATATACATTTGAGATTTTAGGTGGAATAATTGGGAAGTCACTTTTGCCTTCTCTATGTGAGACAAAGTCAAGTAAGCTCTAGTTCATAAGAGATAAGGCTTATTTTCATAATCTCAGAATTTCAATCTCCTGACTATATATGCTACCTATTATTAGATCTAATAAATGGGTGGCCTGATCAATTCAGTTCCTTGCATTACCTCTCACAATTGCATGGATTTCATTGATGCTTGAGCTTCAGCATGTTATATCTCCTGCATGACTATAATGCTATTATTTCCATTTCAATTACTGGGCTAGTTTATATTGAAATATTTTCAACACTTCTTGATATAATTTGAAGCTAGAATTTGGAAGTACTTTTCATTACACTGAAAATTTCTGTTGCAAAAAATAGCCTTTTTAAGAAATTGCATGTGGAGGATTTTCTTTTTAAAATAGTTATTAGTTGAAATTCCTTTCTAGTATTGTCCTGGCAAACCACAAACCCAAAGCTTGGTACATTAAAACCGCTGAAAAGGTAGTCATTTATTAGAGGCAAGCAATTGAAAGGACACAAGTGGACTATCAACAAACTTTTCAATAAAGTCAGGAAGCAGGCTATCAACACTTGGGCTGTTCTTATTGTGTCTGTTATCATAATTGACAGCTTGACGTAAAACCCTATCACATGACTTCTGGGTAGGTATGTAAATGGATAAGAGGTCACTTTTCACATATGCTAGCTGGAAAGGAAACACATTTAAAGGAAGTTTCAGTCAAAATAATGGCTATGCAAATGTTTAGCTGTTTGGCTAGTTCTTAAATTAAAAAAAAAAATCCTTCCATTGTCTGTCTTTTATCATTCATTCATTTTTTGACTTACTTTATTGGTTGTCAAAGGCTAATATCCAGATAAGCTATTCTAATTAAT